AATATATGGTTTAGGAAGTGTTTTATCTTTTTTATCAATGATAGTAGCGATATCAAAACCAGACATATTTATCGATTGGGATATTTAGACCTATTTGATTTAATAACTTTATACTCTAGAATAATATGATTCAATTTTAGTTCAGATGCTTGAAGAGCACCCATAGGACCTGGATTCTTTATTTTTGTAAAGAACTCAATAATAAACACGTGATTTTGGGCGAACTTTTTTAATGATTAGTTCGCTGAAATTTCGCCAAGAATAAATAATCATGATTGATACATTTACAGTATATGTGTAAAACTTTAATTGACCCGTGATTATCAGTGATGTATTTACATATTATTTCTTTGCTGAGAGGATTTCGCCAATGAAATATTTATAACCGCTAGATCTATAAATTATTTTCTCTATATAAGTATTAAATTATACCCCATCAGGCAATGGATCCTCCGCTTTCAATCCACGTCGGGCGCGTGTCAAATCTAATGGGAGCATCTGCTGTTAATACTTTGCACGGATTAATCTGATAATATATTAAAAGATGTTTACCAATGTTTCTTCGTCTCTTATCACACTGTTCCTGACTGTTTTTTTTTTCCTTTTCTGGCGTAATTACAGATTTAGCAAGTTGTACAGTTCCAGGCGGAGTAGAAGGACGCGAGGGAGGTTGTGTAATTTCTCGTAAAAGAGATTCATCCTCAGGTTCGTTTTTTAATACTTCAATGCAACGTTTGATACGCAACTTTGCTTGAAGAATATTTATAATAATAATGATAAGCTCCATTACATCATCGAGATACAGAGGAATATTTCTCGTAGCTTCTTTTCTGAGGCGCAAACACGAACCACCTCCATAATCCATTAAAAGTTGTAACTGGAGGCGTGAATGTAACAAGCCAACAATTTCAACTTTTTTGATTATGGCTTCATTATGGTCGACTATACTTGATTGTTGATAAAATATATCTTTCAGGAATTTCGTGAGTTTTAAAGAGTCACCCAAATGTTTCCTATCATGAGGACCCTGACATGTTTTCGCGACTTCAATTCCCCCGTATTCATAGTCGTTAACTGTATTTTGAAAAATACCATCAATTCGATGTCCAAGTGCTTTTCTCTGACCCTTTATTCTGTACATCTCGCCATCATTCTTTCGGTTGCTTGATGTAATACTACATGTCTCACCACGAACGAGTTCTATATTGGGAATGTTTAAGAATGCTTTATCAATCAATATGCTCCAAATATTGACTGCATACCATCCCTCTGCATGTGGTTGCGCCAATCGATTCTTCGGTGACTCATATTCATCCAGCAAATAAGTAAAGACCTGGTGTATATATTGGTAATCGAAATGTTGTTCTTGCCTATATATTGTCTCTAGCCAAGGTTTCATAACATGCGCTCGCATTTCTGAGGGGGTCTTCTTTTTATACTTAAGCAAATGTTTTGCCATATTCTCATCGATACCTGGTACAGTTTTCTTATTATTGTTCATAATTTTTTCCCATTCTTTTTTTGTAAATAAATTCTTAATGTTATCATCTGACGTATCGATAATAAAAGAATGAGCTGGTTGTTCATATTCCAATTTTAATGCGTATGCATAAAGTACGTCTTCGACTTTTCTTCCTGAAGATAAATGCAATTTTCTTTCTTCCGTAATTTTTTGGAATGATATTTCATGAGATGGCCAACATGACTGTACTTTATTGGAGGTGTCGATCGTGGGTACAATAATAGTATGCGCCCCAAATTGCTCAAGATTTTCTTCATTCATATTTTCTAATGTTGTATCACTTGAATCCGTTAGATTCTGTTTGGTTCTTCGGATCGATTGTAACATTTGTTGTTTTTTCGGATGAATTGGAGGATAACTCCCGTTTCAAAGCTACTAATTCCGTATCATAAAGAAGAGGTTAATACATGTACATAATTCAACATATAATGTAAAATGATATTACCTGGTTCTATAGTTTCTCGTGTAGTATTGGATGTTTTGTTGAAATCACTGTGTAAGAATTCGGCAGGGTCAATTTGTTCATCTTCAATTTCATTTACTCTATCATCCGCAGAATGGGTTTTAACTACGCATCGTCTTTTTACCTGTATAAAATATTGTAAAAAAAAGTGTCAATCATTAAGTTTTAAAGTAACTTAAATACGTTGGTATCATTCACCTCCTTTGACTTTTCTTCGTGATCTGAGTTTGTCTCCACTTCTGATAAGCTTTCAGCGTAATTTACTCGGTTTTTTCTTTTTCTAAGTACCATTACAGAAGAAGGTCCTCCTTTCTAAAGGATGCCATAAAAAACAATATAATTATAATCAATAAATCCCTAGTTGTAAATAAATTTGATCATAATCGCAAATTTATCAACCTTGTGTTCATCTTTTAATTCATCGATGAGTACTTGATTCATGCGATAACTCTAACAGAATTGTAAGTTAGACCATTGTGAAATTTGTTCCCAAGACTGTTTAAAAACTTACCTGTAAAGCTTTGACTGTACACGCGGATGCAACGTTGGTTTGAAAAGCTGTATCAAATCCACGCACTTCTTGTTCTTCCCGAAGTTTATCAATGAATTCTTCAACTTCAGCCGTAGAAAATGATTTATCAAAACCAAGCAAAATCTTATCCAATTTGTTTGAGAGGTATTTGTGATTTTGGGGATTTTCTTTATACTTCTGTAAAGCTGTGTATATATCCTTTTTAAGATCGCTAATAGAATTGGTATACAACTGACATTTTGATTTCGTGTACTCTAAGATGGAGACAATTGACCAATGCGAATATTTTGTATCGTTGAGGTATTCTGTTACAATAGACTCGAACATCTTGGAAAGGAAAAAATAGGATAATAATAAGTTAATATAAATAACCCCACATATTACATGTGACAAACTGACAAATCGACAAGCACACAGTCAGCAAATACTGGAAACAGCATGAAGTGATCAGTCGTTGAATGTTTACACTCAAATACTCCACTCCAGACTTGCTTCCAAACATCTGACACAGGAAGCAATGGCCATATGTCAGTAGGATCTCATCCTGGATACTAGCATGAAGGGATCAGGCCTTAAGTTTGCACCTAAGTACTTCCCCCCAGACATAGTACCAAACATCTAACGCAGGAAGCAATGGCCATACGCCAGTAGGGATGCGCGCGACTGATAGCATAAAGTAAAATCATACACTTGCCTTTGTGTAGACGAAATCTAATTTTTTACGCGACCAAGTAAATGAATATAGCTCGCGATTGCAATGCATATCATGTGCTTTAGGCAATTTTTATTGGTTCAGTCCAGACAGGTAAACATACGTCACCTATTACTGCGATAATTCGACCTCCGATTCTTTCGCCGATAATTGAGCAAGATCGGATTTTTTTTTATTATTTTTTTCCGATAACTCCGGAACGGAGGTGATCGAATTAAAGGCAGTTGACTGTACAAAGGCCACGCTTGAGAAAACACCTCTCGCTTTATGTCACAGGACATTATCGATAACGAACTCAACGACGAATCCGTTACTAATGTCAATAATGCTCAAGACGAATAGCGTATACTTTTACAAGAAAAAAAGAAAGCGTGGGAGTGGAAAGTGAATGAACGATAATCTATTATTACATTTTACAGGAATTGACAGGTAACTAAACGTAATATTTATCAATTAGATGAAGATTCGTATGTCGCATTATCTAAATTTCCACTCACTTCATCCGCATTATGACCCGAATCTCCACCTGTATTATTTACAGCCAGAGGCCGATTTACGACATTATTAGCATTATCTCGATTAGTATCCTCTCTCCTATTACTGGAATCTCTACGGTTAGGAGAAGCTGAACGATCCCTTTGATTGGCAGTGGACTCACAACGGCTTGACATTGGTGTTACTCTATATGTTGGTGGTGATGTACGATTACGATAACGTCTTGTAGATGTATTTTCATTGTGCAATCTATCAAATGGGGTTTCTATATTTTCATGTGTAAATACAGGTATGAGTTGTAAACTCAAGAATCTATCTCCTCGAAACCTTGTTTTTCACCTACCGGGTCTCTCCCAAAAATGAGTACTAAATTCTTCAAAATATCGTTCACCGGTTCTACTTCTCTTTCCAGTTTTACTTCCGGCTATATATAGGCACATTGACTAGAAAAGTGCATTAGCGTTCGCTTGCCTTCCGGCTAAGAAATATTGTTATAGCTCGTTAGCATGGTTAACATTTAATGCTAGCTGGAAGCTAATGCGGTATATAGTATTCAACACTTACGTTGTAATCTCTAATAAGATTCTGAAATCTATTTTTACATTGAGATCCTGTATAGCTGGTTTTAAATCGTTCGTTGATTGTATTTGCAATACTATTCCAGAAATCTACCTTACTACTGCCAGCAATATCATGATACGAGGTATTTTTGTTTTTTTCTTTCGTCTATTAATAAACGTAGTTGATCGTCAGTCCACATATCGATTGTAAAAAAAATGCGACACACTTATTTTCATCAGCATTTACATAGTGGTTATATATGAAAAAAGTTTATCATGTCTACGTCGCACCTTCATCATACCTTCATCACATCTTCAACGCATCTATATTATAAGAATGTAAAAGGAAAATTGGACCGGGCGATCCTAAATGAAAGTTTCACCGGTATTTAAATCATAATAATAACCTTCATCATCATCATCAGAAAATCCACAGAATCCATCATCATCTTCCTCTTC